TTTATTTCCTCAGAACCAAAGATGAAGCCTTTGCCAAATTTCTTGAGTGGAAAACCCAGGTGGAAAGACAAACAGGACAAAAACTCAAGGTACTCAGAACTGACAACGGACTTGAGTACTGTAATAAAAGGTTCGATGAGTACTGTAAGACTGTAGGAATTCTCAGACACAGAACGTGTGCGTATACTCCGCAGCAGAACGGCATTGCAGAGAGAATGAACCGTACAGTGATAGAGAAAGTGAGGTGTTTGTTGGCAGAATCTGGACTACCTCAGAAGTTTTGGGCAGAAGCTGCTTATACGAGTACGCACATCATAAACCGATCTCCCTCAACAGCCATAAACTTCCAGGTTCCAAATGAAGTATGGTCTGGAAAAACAACTGGATATAAACACCTTAGAAAATTTGGATGTGTTGCCTACGCCCATGGAGATCAGGGAAAATTGATGCCAAGGGCTAAAAAGGGAATCTTCATAGGCTATCCAGCAGGGACAAAAGGTTATAAGATCTGGTTACTAGAGGATGAAAAGGTGATAATCAATCGAAATGTGAGGTTTGATGAAGACACAGTTTATAAGGACCTGGGAACAACAACACCAGAGAAAACTGAAGCTCAACCAGAACCAGAAAAACAAAAGTTGAGTCTAGAGTTACTTCCACCTCTAAACAATGGGAAACCAACAGAAAAGGACAAGCAGCAAGGTGGAGCAACTGAGATGAATGAACCATCCAACGACAAAACAATCACAAGCTCAAGATTAGAAGAGGAAGAAGAACAAGATGGACCAAATGATGGAAGTGTTTCAGCAGATAAAATGGAGAGACTGATTGACTACGTTCTTGCCAGAGACAGAGCAAGAAGAGAGATTAAACCTCCTGCCAGGTTCAATGATTCTGACAAAGTGGCTTTCGCACTTGCTGTTTCACGAGAACACGAGCTAGAAGAGCCTCAGAACTTCCAGCAAGCAAAAAGGAGCAAAGATTGGTCGTTATGGAAACAAGCTATGATGGAGGAGATGGATTCATTAAACAAAAATGGGACATGGGTTTTGACAGACAGACCAAAAGAAAAGAACGTCATAGGGTGCAAATGGGTGTATAAACTGAAAGCAGGGACCCCAGGAGTAGAGAAACCCAGATTCAAGGCTAGACTTGTTGCAAAGGGGTTCTCACAAGTTGAAGGCATAGACTACTCCGAGATTTTTGCACCCGTTGTTAAACATGTTTCCATCAGAATTTTGCTTTCAATTGTGATGTTTCAGAACCTCGAACTGGATCAGATGGACGTGAAAACAGCCTTTCTACACGGTACTCTTGAAGAACAAATATACATGGAGCAACCTGAGGGCTTCGCTCGCAAAGGGGAAGAAAACAAAGTATGTTTGCTACAGAAGTCGTTGTATGGCTTGAAGCAGTCACCAAGAAGGTGGAATCTCAGATTTGATGAGTTTATCAGAAGCCAGAACTTTGACAAGAGTGACTATGATCCATGTGTCTACTACAGAAAAGATCAAAGGGGAAGAATAACATACCTATTGATTTATGTTGATGATATGCTGATTGCAACAAAGGAGAGATCAGAGGTTGAAAATCTGAAACGTGTTCTAGGAGCAGAATTCGACATGAAAGATTTGGGGCCAGCTCAAAAGATATTGGGAATGGTCATATCCAGAGACAGAGCTGCTGGGACCTTATTGCTGACACAGAAGGAATATGTTCAGAAAATAATAAAGACGTTTAACATGGATGATGCAAAATCAGTACAGACACCATTAGGATCGCACTTCAGACTCAAGTCGTGTCAGGAACCAGAGGAGTTCGATGCAGAATTCGCCGAATCTATACCTTATGCTAATGCAGTTGGCAGCATTATGTATGCTATGATCGGAACCCGACCTGATTTAGCATATCCAGTAGGTGTTATCAGCCGATACATGGGAAAACCGAAAAAGGAGCATTGGGATGCTGTTAAATGGGTATTACGTTACATGAAAGGAACTGCGGCTTATGGGTTAAAGTATCAGAAAAATGAAGGCATGAACGTGAAGGGATATTGTGATTCAGACTTTGCCTCAGACTTAGATAAAAGGCGATCTGTAACAGGATTCATTTTCACGGTAGGTGGAAATGTTGTCAGCTGGAAATCAGGGCTTCAAAATGTAGTAGCATTGTCGACCACGGAGGCTGAATACATGGCGCTTACAGAGGCAATCAAGGAGTGTCTGTGGCTGAAAGGTTTAGTAAGAGAATTGGGCTTTGATCAAGAAACAGCAGAAGTTATGTGTGATTCGCAAAGTGCTATAGATCTGTCAAAGAATAGTGTGCACCATGAAAGGACCAAGCACATCGATGTTCGTTTGCATTTCATTCGGGATGTTATAGCTCAGGGATCAGTTCAAGTTGAGAAGATTCATACAGAAATCAATCCAGCGGATCTGTTAACAAAGACCATTTCAGTGGGTAGATTGACAAAACTGTTAAATCTACTCAGTTTCTCAGGAACGTGATCATGACAGCTGAGAAAAGGGAGGCGCAGAGGTATTTTTCTGATTTGAGTTTCGTATTTCCGGCAAGGTGGAGATCTGTGGAATAAGAATGCCTGAAATACTCATCAGGTGTTGAAGACTCTGCGTGTGTTAGAGGGTCTTGAAGTTTCTGTTTCTGGTAGAGGGTTTGAAAAGCGCCTGACTAATTCTCCTATATATAACGGAGGATGCAGAACGGATTGAGTATCGTCTTCTTATATTTCTCAAATCGCTGTTGTAGACCTGTAAGCTCGAAACCCAGTCAATAAAATTCTCTCCTCTTCCCCCGAGACGTAGGTACGAACACAACGTTCGTACTGAACTCGTTAATCCGTTGTGTCCTTTACATTCTTGCGTTTTCTTTCTCGTTCGTGTTCTTCTGCTCAAATAGTCATCTACTCGAAGGTTCTGCGAACCCGGGAAATCTCGATAGAATCGAAATAGATCTACGACAGAGTTCTTGGGGTTGAGATTGTACATTCTGGATAATAAAAAATAAATAGAAAATTAACGCAATGAGTATGATATCATGAGGTATTATGGACTTTTTACATTACTTATTAAAGATAATAAATATATGTATACATCAATAAATAATATATATATAATCATGACATTAGAAATGTATGATAAGTAATCATAAAGTTCTTTCTTCCCTAATTATTTAAGTAACTTAAAAAAAAAAGACTAAGTGCATGTTCTGTTCTAAACTGCTAGGTAAATATTTTTATAATAGATTGAGTTCAATATATATATATATATGTTTAATAGTACTGATCATAAATTAATATTATTTATTTAAAATAACTTACATAAAATTAATAAAATTACTATTAATTTTATATCCATAATAACAAAATCGAACTAATAATTTTCATCTTCTCATCAAGGTTATTAATATTTTAATAATAATTTTTTTTACGTCTACCATTATTGCTATACATATATGTAGTAGTGGAGTATATACAAACAGATACATATGTATATATATGGATGTGTTTTTTATAATTTTTCTAGAGTTTTGATAATATGTCCGTATTTTTATAGTGTTAGTAGATATTTGAATAGATTTCTAATTGTAATATCGAAATCCAATGACTAGATTCCGATCACACGGTGAATGAACGGTCTTAATGATTATAATGGATTTAAAAAAATTTGAAAATTCGAGTATAGAATTAATATGTTGAAAACTAATATGTTTTTATATTGGAATTTGTGAATTAAAAATGATATATTACTTATTAAAAGAAATTGTTTTAATCGTCTATCTATGGTTCAAATGTATTATTTCTATAATATACATATATAACAAAATAATATCGTTGAAAACAATAACAAATATATTTTAAAATTACCAATAATATTTTCAAAGATACACTTTATAATTAATATTATCTTAGATGACAGAAACACGAGAAAAACATAAATACAAAGAGCCACGGACCTTCTCCACCAATATATATATATATATATATATATATATATATTCACTTTTTATGTGTTTTATCTATAGAAAATAGTTTCAGATTTTGATTTGGTTTTAATTTATTATTTTAGATTTTTTTCAAAATGTATTTGCATAATTATTTTAAGTAATTTTAGTTTAAATTCTAATCAAATTGGATCGTGGTTCTACTTTCAGTAAAATATTTTTAATGCTTTTAATTCTACTAGTTTATTTGCAAATTCGATTTATTTTTATTTGAAATTGAATTTAGTTTAAAAATATACATAAATTACTTTGTTTTATTTGATTTTTTTACTAAGGATTGATTGATTGACTAATAGTAACCAAATAAAAACGTCTCTATCGTCTCGCTTCTATGTTATGCCTTATTAAAAAAAAAAGGAATAGTTTTCAGTGGAATATTCATTAATCTAATAATCATTGTTGATTATGAAATAAGTTGTTGCGTACGAACACTCTCTCCATAAGGTAATATAGAATTTTTAAATAATGTTTTTTTTACCTTTTTCCATATAAATTTTTAAATCAATTAATACCCTTACGATAAGAAGGAAAAACAAATTAATACCCCTTCAATTTTATTTATTTTATAATTATTTCCTTCGAATTATTTTCCATATTAGGGCCACTCCTTTAAACTTCCTTAAAATGTTAGAATCTATATATATATATATATATATATTAGAAGTAAATAGTTTAGATTTTACTTATATTAAATATTATTTTTTTGAAAAATATTTATATTTCCATAATTATTTGATTAGACTAATTAAATTAAGTTGAACAACTAAATCTAATCAATTTTTAAATTATATATTATTTAATTGTCATTGATTCGAGTTTTATATATACCTACCACCTATATATATATATATATATATATATTATTTTACATCAAAATATTAAAACTATATATATAATTAATTTTTCCTTGTCAACATATATATGTTTTCGTTAACAAAAACGAAGAAAATATTTATATAAAAGTGGAAATTAAAGGAAAAAAAATTACAAATTCCTGTCCCTGCTCTTCGTCGCCCTCAGATTCTTCACCTACAAGAGACCACAATATCATCCCAAGATCCCAAACAATGCCATCTCCACTCTTTGAAATGAGTGTTTTCTCCATCCAATTTTCAAATCCATGATTTCTTCTCCGAGTTCGTGTCAATCCCATTGAAATCACTTAGCTCTCTTCGTCATCGTCGAGGTCTCTACTGTTTCGCCTTCGAAAATAAGATCAGAGCGCGAATTCTTCGAACCGGCCCTCGAATTTCCATGTGGAGTTTTCCCGTGGTAGTTTATCCCTAGTCTACTTCTGCTGATCGTTCCGGGCTATGCTTTTGGGGTTTTCAGGTTCGACGTAGAAGAATTTACCTGGCTAGGACCAGATTTTGGTAGCTCTTTCTCGTTGTAGATCGTGATTAGGGTTTTAGGTTTTTTCGATTTCCGTGGTTTTCATCGAATTCAGCTTTCTGTGAATGTGTAAACCCTGAGGAGTCCTCTGCTAAGGTCGTGGAGTAGCCCTGTAGAACTCGGGAAATTGCTTCAGGTTTTATTTCTCAAAGGGTTCCTTTCTGACGAGTCGAAAAGCTTTCTGAATTAAGAATCCATTGTTGTAGTCTTGTAACTATATAAGTATTTAGGGGATGTTTGGTCCTACATCGGATAACAGCCATGGAAACAGCAGTGCCTCAGGGCAGCTTCTCACTCCGATGCGTTTCGTTTGGCCCCATGGAGGGAGAAGGGTATTTCTCAGTGGATCCTTCACCAGGTGAGATGGCCGAGACAGAAGCTAGACATTATATAATACTGTAGGGAAGAAATTTGTGATTGCTGCTATGAAATATTTACCGGGTTGTTTCTGTTGTGCATGGATTGATTGCTGAAATGGGAATATGATCAGGTGGATAGAACATGTGCCGATGTCGCCAATGGAGGGTTGTCCTACTGCTTTTCAAGTTGTATGCAACTTGGCGCCAGGATATCATGAGGTTAATTACCACTTGCCTTGATACTTACCAGTCGTGTTTCGATTTATTCCTTGTAGTAACGTCTACTACTTTGTTTTCTCACAAATGTTATCATTTCCCGGCGAACATGATACTGCCACGTTTACTCATTGGATGCATAACCAATAAAGTATGTGTGAATGTCATTTATACATTGTGTAACCAAAAGAAATTCTCATTTTCCATTTTCATTGGGAACTAAGAGTATATATTAGTACAGGAAACTTTCAATGGTTGAGAGCTGGGCATTAAGTGGCTCTATTTGGCCTCGATGGTAATGAAGTTATAGATAAGAGCTTACTTTACTATCTGAGACACGGGAACTTCCCAAAATGTTAAGTATTTGGTACCATTGGGAATGAAGACATGAACATTGTCTGATTGTTGTAACATCCTCTGGGCAATGTATTAGTGTCAAATCTGGTGACTGATGTTCCAGTGTAGAGGACAGTGAGGATCGCCGATCCGATCGTCAATTTTGAGCAGAAAATGTCTTGCCTTCTTTTTGGTAAGGTCACGTGTTAGGAAAGTGATTCTTGACAAAATCCTGAGTATTCCATCAAACGCCATGTTTTACTCTCGGGTTCTTAATTTGTGAGAGACTCCTGCATGGTACAAAATAAATGTGCATGGCATGATTTTGTTGTTTCTCTTTTTCTTGATTTTGCAAAATTATGATTACAAAATGACGAATTAATTGGATCGATCAAATTCTTATTTTATTCTTCGCTTTCCGTATCACACGGTAGTTCATTGAATTTTGTTTTTGAACTCATCTTCATCAGTGTTACCGTTACACTATTGCATTGTCTAAAAAGGCAACAGTGGCTAAAGAGGTTTCCTTATGTTGATCTATTTCAATCATGAGTTTCCTTATTAAGACATCCCGAGCTTAAGATGTCATATCAACTTTGTCATGGCATTCAATTATTCGTATCTTGTGCAGTATAAATTTTTTGTTGATGGGAAATGGAGGCATGACGAGCACCAGCCTTTTGTAAATGGAAACGGCGGAGTAGTGAACGCAATAATTATTGCTGGAGGACAAGATATGGTTCCCACCATAGGTTTCAACTTGGAGACACATGGCCGCTCGAATATGGAAGTCGATGATGTTGTCATGCGAATGGTAAGCAAACTCTTTTATCTGTTTGATAAAACTGTGATGTTTTCTATATGTTGGGATGCATAGGTCTGGTGTTACTCATTTTACTGTATATGTTGGAAGCAATAAATAATGTAGCTTTTCAAGGGTGAACAAGCCTAGTAATAGTAACATGGTCTCAAAAAACAGATTCCTTACGGGAAATAATTCATAACATGGCAAATTCTGCTTCATATTATGCGGCTTGTAGGTACGCAAAGACTATTTCTGAGTTTTCAGAAAAGAAACTGTTCATATAGAACCTATCTTCAAATTAGCTATGTATCTGTTCGATGGTTTTGTTTGACTTAACATTGGTGGTAGATTTTTAGGTTTTCTAAGTTGCCAACAATTAGAACTCTTGAAATGTCATAGATTCTATCTTAAGTTTACATGTTTTGTTGTGTACGTCAGTTTTATCTTGTTATTTTATAGAGATTTCGTTCATTTGACACATCGGATTCTTTAAGTTTCATAAAACTGTCTGTTATATGATGGTGATATTGATATGTAGCCACAATCTGGTTACAATATTCTGTCCCCACAATTAACTTGTGAAAAGACTTTTAGTTTCTGAGTGCTTTTACATGGTGGTCGGAATGTAGGGTGATCTGTCTCAGGAATTCATTCCTAGGATGTCGAGGCCTGACTTTGAGGTTTCTCATCACCGTATATCTGAATTCTTGTCTAAACACACTGCATATGAGCTGCTTCCAGAGTCTGGCAAGGTCTGGTTTCTTCTCTTATAAAAGAATGAATTGCGTTAATCAGGAGTATAACAGGCTTATCCATGGAATAGCTTCTGGCTTTTGGCTTGAATTACCTAAGGTGGGCCGGAACTTTTTTCAGGTGATTGCATTGGATGTTAATTTACCGGTGAAGCAAGCATTTCACATACTCTATGAACAGGTCTTTTCTATTTACTAATGCATCATATTCAATTTTTCTCGCCCTGCTGTCTCCTCTCTTTGTCTCTTGCTGTCATGTATTACATGCCAATGTTGTTGCCTCCACACCTGTCAAAGGAAACAAGCAAAATTTTAAATAGTATTCACCTTGTGTCTAAATTCGGTTCGGTATTTTCTTGCGTTTTTGTTTATGCTAATTCCAGCATTTTTCAGGGAATCCCTCTAGCTCCTCTCTGGGACTTTAGTAAAGGCCAATTTGTTGGAGTTCTTGGTCCACTGGACTTCATCCTCATACTGAGAGAGGTTGGTCCTTCTGGATTTTTTTCCCTGCAGCATCCCATTTGATCAGCAATATATCAATGTAGAATTCTTCCTAGAGGAAGAGTCCACTAAAGCATCTATTCCGTAAATCGTATCTTACAACGATTGGGAATTCTGATTCTTCTTCTTAAAGGTCTTTGTATCGATAACATACACACCATTATTGTTGTTCGGGTGACAATAAATCTGAACATAGAAGTACCTCATAGTGTTTCATCTCTTCTATTGGAAATACACAAAGAAACTGTTTATTTGGTCATCTATTAGCAGCATTACTGGACTACGTTATGAGATATTGTCTTCTGGCATCAGGTGGGCTTATCATTAGACATTAGGATGTTGAGAGGAAGCACCATATGCAGTGTGATCCCATTTTTGAGGACTTAGTTTTTTTTTTCTACAGAGATTTTATCAGACATCACTAGTACTTTCGACCTGTGGGGCTAATAATTGTAGAGTGAATTTCACAGTAAATTCAGCTGTTTTTTTTGTCTTATCTAGGAATTCAGGTCGGATGTCATTTTAGTAGAGTTACCTACGTCTTAAGTATACTACCCATAGCTGTTCTACTATCATTCCCAGTAGGGCATGTAACATTATTGGGTGATAACGGTAACCCCATGAAATTGCAGCTGGGAACTCATGGTTCAAATTTGACTGAGGAAGAGCTTGAAACACACACAATAGCAGCTTGGAAAGAAGGAAAGGCACATATTAGCAGACAACTTGATGGAAGTGGGAGACCGTACCTTAGGCCTCTTATTCAAGTGAGTATTTTTTGCTTGGTTTTATTAAGCCCTTTGTGTTAGCTCAACACTTTCCGCCATGTTTTTTTAATTTATTTATTTTATCATAATCTAAATCCTTATATCGTTAAGGGTTGAAATTTTGACGGTGTGTATAAATGTATGTGGTAGCTATATACCTAGATACCGAATGTGAAGTGTATAAGAGACACTTTTGCTATTGCTGCTATTAGTACCAGCCGATTCTTGTAACTTTCTATAAATAGATCTCCTTTTATCTTCATGTGTGAAGTAGTAATATTAAAGGTTGAACTTTTTGTGTTTACATATTCGTGTGTTTAAACGGTTTTAAAAGTAAAAAGGAGAATGCATAATGCACAAGATTTACTGATCCACATTTTGGATGGAAAGACACGTTTAGTATATATGCCTGTTTGTTTGCATTGTCATGCTTAGCGTTGTTTTCTCTTATATGCGCAGTCTAAGCCATCTGACTATCTAAGCGACGTTACCAAGAAAATTTTGGAGAACAAGGTGGCAGCAGTTCCGATTATACATTCTTCTTCACAGGATGGTTCATACCCGCAGTTATTGCACCTCGCTTCATTGCCCGGCATATTAAAATGTAAGGTTTTTTTTATTGTGTGATTATTAACCTATAAACATTGATAAGCTCCAAAATATGTGTGCTGCTCTAAAAGGAAAGTTGGACTTGACGGAGACCAAATTGGCAAAACAAATGATTTTCAACTTTCAAGTCGTGTTGATTTCTGTTAGTTTCAGTTCTGTTTATGTTTTCTGAATTCGAGAACTGATAGAAGCTGGACTGACCGGCATCAATAGGTTTGTCAAAATTTCTGCTTCTTATAATAAAGCATTATTATCTGCAGGTATATGCAGATACTTTAGGAATTCTTCTAGTTCCCTGCCCATCCTTCAGCAGCCCATTTGCTCAATCCCCTTGGGTACGTGGGTTCCTAGAATTGGAGAATCGAATGGCAGACCTCTCGCCACATTGAAACCACATGCCTCTTTGGGTTCCGCCCTCGCGTTGCTTGTTCAAGGTAATATTTCTTGCTGCAATTTCATTGGAATGTGTGGTGAAATTCATCAATGACTTAAGAATTAACCCATAATTGTCAATTTGATATTTAGACGCCACAATCCCTATTGTAGTAGTAAATAGCTCCAGCTTAATTTAGATGCGACGAACTCAAGTTCACATTTGCACTAACCAAACATTGTCTCAATATTGTATATAGAATGGATTAGATTATTCCAATTTGATCTCAATATAGATGGAATGTGAGTGTAAAGTCGAGGAGATTACAAGCAGGTTTTGAAACTTTAAATATTCCAATTGTGGATATATATCTACTGAAAACAGAGAAACAAAATGTAAGCATTAAGTTGAAACGAAGATTTTCGCTTATATCAGCTTGTCTAGTATGCATTTCATGGAAGAACCCATAGATTTAAATGTATGGGTTAATCTTTACTTCAATCAGGCGGATCTCATCTCTAAACGTGTTGCGTTTTTTTTACAGCGGAAGTAAGCTCAATCCCCATAGTTGATGACAATGACTCGCTTATAGACATATACTCCAGAAGGTAAACTCTGTGCCACCAATCTACATGACCAGCGTCTTGCCTTCCCTTTGAAAGTCAGTCATTCTGATTGTATTTTTGTTTGTAGTGATATAACTGCTCTGGCTAAAGATAAGGCGTATGCACAGATTCATCTCGATGACATGAAAATTCACCAGGTAAAGTCTGAATGAGAAGTAATCAGGAATGCTCCTTACAACTGAAAATTTATCTTTTTTTTTTCTTTGTTTTGACTAATTGGACCAAAAGAAAGGCATCAAACATTTTATTAACTAACCAGCCAGAGATAGTCCATGGTTGAAGTTATTCCGTTGGTGTATTTTCTAGGCTCTGCAACTGTGTCAAGATGCAAATCCGATCTATGGCTTCTTCAATGGGCAGAGATGTCACATGTGTTTGCGCTCAGACTCTCTTCAGAAAGTGATGGAGCGGTTAGCCAATCCAGGTACCTTCTTCCTGAAACTCTCCATTTATGCTGTTCAAACCCATATGAATCGTGTGCTTACGTGTCTATATGCACATGATATCCCCCGTATTAGATCTGTGGCATTGCTTTCTTGATTTCGGAGAACTCTTTTGGTTATAGAATAGCATAACCGATTTGTTTATTATTGCTTTATCTTTGCTGAAAAGTATTAGTACAACTGTACAAGTAGGGTTTTTTTTATCGGTAATTATCATTCAACTGATCATAACATTGTGACTACCTTTGATACATTTAGATAACATATTGCGTTTGTTTCCAACGTTGTAAAAGGCATTTGTAAGAAGTTCCATGATTGTTTGTGATGAAAATGACGTGTATGATCTGATAGATCTTGGGACTGACATTTAGTTAGGGTTTTGTCAAGCTTTTCTACATACACAACGCATACTGCATGGGCTCTCTCTCTCTCTCTCTCTCACACACACACACTTGTTCTATTGATACACAATCACACAATGTGATGCACACATGCTTGCATATACGGGTGTGCATACATACGCATATACACCATTGGTACTGACTCAGATGCATACATGCATGCATAGCGGGCGTGCATGCACATATACACCATTGATACAGAATCAGATGCGCACACACGCACACATAGTTGCACCATTGATACATAATCAGATGCATCCATGCGTGCATATGCTGGATACACACCATTGATACAGAGTCATACACACACACACATGCGTACACGAACACATACATACGTACATAGACTGTATGAGTGATAAAAATGAGGTTAATTTTGGGGTGCAGGGGTAAGGAGGGTGGTGATAGTGGAGGCGGGGAGCAAGCGCGTTGAAGGTATTATTACAGTGAGCGATGTCTTCAGATTTCTCCTCCGTCTTTAAACTGCCAGCCAAAGAGAACCAACACCATCTTCTATTATTCCCGTTTCCTCCCAAAAAAAAAAACCGAACCCAAATGGATATTTTTTTTTTATATGAAGGAATTTGTAAATGTATTATGAATCCTCATCATCCTCCTTCATCCGTTTAGTTTTTCTGAGTATTGGGTGTCTGTGAAAGAAGAGGCTACCTTAAACGGCGGCGTATTGGTGGGAGTGTTGTCTGATTCTGACAGAAGAAGAAGGCAATCTCTGTCTATTCTTCAACCTCTCTCTCTCACATTCTCTCTTTCCTGTTTTTGGTTTTCTGTTTTGTCTGTTGAGTCGCAAAGAACATGATGAAAATATAGTGCCATTTTTCCTTTATATTGATATATATATATATATATATGTGTGTGTGTTGTGTGTGTGTACATGTACACACATAGAGATGCTCTGGGTATATCTGCAAAAATGTATATATATATATATTTAAAAAATGTTATTTTAATAATTGTAGGTGTCGGGTTCGATTGCTTACCCTTTGAATGGAGAAGATAGATCCATATTTCGTTACATCGCCTACCTATTCAATGGTGAAACCGTCGGATTATGTAACTCAATTGCTTGCAAACAGTGATTTTAAGGCCTCACTACAAACCCTAGTTTTGGATCTGAGAGCCTCGAAGAATTTCAAGGCCTCTCTAAACTTTTAATATTTTGGTATTCTTCAAGTTTGTACACACGACAACAATATTAAATTTTTTGAAATCGAAATTGTAATTAACAATATGGGTCCAAATACGGGAGAAGATATGATAACATTTTTAGAGTTTTTATTAAACCATACCGATACGGACCAACCAACACCGTGAACCGGTCCGATCGGTCAAACAAACCACCGGTTATACCAACAATGAAACACCTAACTTGCGGAACACGTAACCTACAATACGAACACACTTAACAACAAATGAAGAAAAGAACCGACGAGAAGAACAAAACACACACGAAGAGAAGATCCGACGGCTGAGATTTTATTAGATGGAGACACTGTTAGGAATCCCCTTACCAGTAATTCCACCTTCACTGGTCGGAAACAGCAAAGTGTACGGCATTTTCACCGGACCGTTCCTGTTCTTAAGCGAAACGTCTTCGTTTCTCTCGACGATCTTCTTCTCGATCTCGACCAATCTCTCCCCGAACCTCGAAAACGCTTCCAACGCCTCGTTTTCCGCCGTCCATTCCTTAGAATCTCTCTGCCCCAAGTAAACCTCATCAGTCGAATGCCTCGACAGGACCTCGATAATCGAAACCCCGAGAAGTGTCTGAATCTGAGCGGTGATAGTCCTCAAGAACACTTTTTCTGGGTTCTTCTCGAGTTCTTCGAATTCTTTACTTCCCTTCCGAGGCATGAACCTTCTACTGACAGTCGGACGGTTCGGGAGGTACCCTGCAATAGGGTACTGCCCGAAATTCACGGCTGCGTGGAGAGCAGAGGCAATCCATATGATTATAGTGCAAGAGTCTATGAGTTCTTCGCAGGTTTGCATCTTCGGCCACCAAGGTTCGGATTTTTTGTCACCGTGACCTTCTTCTCGAACCTCCTTCCACCAGGATTGGAGCTCAGTGTCATTCAGGACATCCTCGTTGGTCTTGTAGTAGAATGAGATGTAGTCTCGAACCCACGACTCGATAGCCGACCAGATCTCAAGCCCGTCTACCGCGTAAGGATAGTCTTTGATCCTAAGACGTAAGCCATTTGGAGCTTCCGGATCCTCAACCGCCATTCCTCTGCCATATCCGAAAAAGGTGATCTCGTTAAGTTATCAAATCCAAATGTTTTGGGGAGATTGATTATCGATTGGCATTTACCTCTTTTTGAGATCGGCTGGTAAGGCCTGGTCGGGGAATGTCCAGTAGTGTTTATAAATGAAAGATGACATTTCCATGGCGTATTTTGCGGGGTAGACTGTGTTCTCGAGGATTCCACCGCCATTGATGAGAATCTGCCTTGCAAACGCGTTGATGTTCATTGTGTCGCGGTAATGTGGGTCGAGAAGCTTGTAAACCGGGTGAAGAGCGCTTAGTTGCCGGTTCGTAGCGATCACAAACGGCTCTATAGCTGCGTGTGTGTTCAACCTACCACAATCCAAAATCAAAAACCAGACTTCAGATCATTTTCATAAAATCGTCTATGTTCAATTGCAGCAGAAAACAAGTTGAATCAAAATCTGCTTGTTTGAGATCGTAAACCCAAAACTAGATGGTTATCAGTCGGGGTTGGAGACGGGTCGGACACTCTAATTTTTCGGGTTATCCAAAACCGAAACCAAATGTCTCGGGTCTCTGGAGATATTACTGGCCGTATCCATTTTAAATTTAAACTCACTGTGGGATACTTGTGATACAGAATACAAGTTTAAATATGAAATTTCAGTTCTCTCAAAATAAATTTGGTTCTTTTGTAGTTACCAGAGCCAGAAACAGATTCTTACCAGTGGCTGATAAGCTGATGGTTACCGGAGTCGTTAACAGCAGCATAAGCCTTTGCCAATTGCCACAAAGAGTCGTCTACTCCTTCACCACTAGCTGGTGTATAAACCTCACTCACAGCTCCATATTCGTCGCCATCGGGATGAGGCAAGCTCAGCTCTATCGCCAATGGCTTCAATGTTCCATCTTCTTTCAAGAACAGAAGCGTCCTACTCGCGTATGTCTTTGTCGTAGTACCATTTACTCTTCTCAGGTATGGCATTAACGTGTCGTGGTGGTCTAGTATGAACAATCTTTCCTTTTGCAGTGCCTGTAAAAAGTGCCAGAGAATGTTGTTTAGAAATCTGAATTCTGTTTCATCGTATCACCGATTTTGATTTGATGATAACTTACCTCTTCCACGTTAAGCCCGTCGAGATTGTGCTCTATGTGGGTTTTGGCGATGGTACTGTTCTGGTTACCGTACTTTCCGATGTCAAGCTTGCTCTTCGGAGGAAATTCCTGCAAGTTAAAGTTAGCCATAAACATGGTAAGACAACAGAAGATAAATACAGTGAAGTAACGTTATCTGCTTGGACATGTTCTCACTTCGAGAAGGCGGATCACGACAGGGTTTAGCCCAGCAAGCATTTCTCTGGTGAATTCTTCATCAGTTCTCCACGCAGTCTTGTCCTCTGAAAATGAAAAAGAGGAAATGAAGAACAAATGATTGAAGGGCATTCATCAAAATGCAAGAGAACACTGGAGAAAGAGAGAGAGAGAGAGAGAGAGAGAGAGAGAGAGAGAGAGAGAGAGAGAGGAGAGAATTGGACAGATACCTTTGATGATCTGAGGCTTTGGATACTTGAGAAATTTTGCACCGTCGGTTCTGAAGATCTCTCTTAGAAGCTCGAATGGTATATTGTTCCTGATTTCATCAAAAAACGACTGATTTGGCAGATCGATTCCTTTTTCGTAGATCTCAAGAACATCTTCGAAAGAATCAAACTCCTTTGGAGTCTCGTCAAACACAGCCTCAAGCGCAGGCTGGATGATCTGTACGATAGCTTTCAGGTTGAATGCCAGAAAGTCGGACATCTTCAAGTGCCCAAATCTCTCGTCTCGTGGAACGTAGACATTTAGGCTCGATGTGATCGGCAACTTGCTCTCAGTGTTAGGATCTTCTTTAGTTGGTTTCCTCCCAGTTCGTCCCCTTCTCGGGTATGGATACTCCTCCGATCCTCCAAGAACAGGTCGAGGATTCTTGGGAGGGACACCGAGGTCATTGTAATAAGCGTAATCATATACTCTGTCCCATTCCTTGAGCTCTCCTTCGCCAGTTCCTCTTAGGGCAACCAGCTCTTCTTCTCTGTAGGTGAGAAGAGGCTCTGGCGTCTGGCTCGGAAGATATGTCTGCACAGAAGGAAAAACGTTGAACTTTACACGATTTCTTGATCCATTAATTGTGCTCGTTCTGAAAACGCATTAAGATGTTTAAACCCAAATGCAAGAAACAGAAATGTAATACCTTGTTGCAGAAGAAAACTCGGTCTTTCTTGTAGTTCTTAGCTGGGTAAACCCAGGAGTTGCAGACGAAATGGACTGTGCCATGGCCAGGGACGTCTTCGAGGGTGAGGCTCTTGAGATAAAACTCGCTGAAATGGTTGTTTCTGATCGTGAAAGCTCCAGGGAATCCGAATCCGTTTTCGCAATCGAAGGTGACTTTGAACGCAGATTCGCCGACCGTTAGCGGAGTGACCGTGGTGATCCAGTCCTCCAAGTGAGCAGGTTTCCCGAGTTTACCTTTCGACCCGTTTTCTAACATTTTCGGCAAGAAACAGAAAGAAGAATTAGCATAAATCCAAAAATATACTTCTTTTTTCTTGTTTTGGAATCAATATGCATCTATTAATCTGAAAGGCAGAAAGTTCGTGAAACGTAGACCAAAAGACGTGGACTTTTGTGTTCTTTATACGGTCATTTTTCCCATTTCTGAAGAAATTGACGAAAAGTCTTACAGATCCGATCAATCCAACAGATAAATTGAAATGAAACAGATATGTGAACGACAACATTGTTTTGACGACAAACAAAAAACAAAAGAGAACACAAGGGGACATTTTAAATAAAGAGGGAATAAATCAAGAAAAATATTCGAGCTTTCTTGCTCAAGAAGAAATAATATTCCAATATTGGACCGGTTCAAAAATTAAGGAGAATACGTCCAAAAACAGCTTTAAGCCTTAACCGGACCGGTTCCGTCCGGTATAGCATCATGCTATGCAAAATTAATTATTATACTAGCACGAAATAACCGGTTTTCTAGACCAATGAATTTTCGCTCTATTGCTCAAAGAAATCGTGAAATATTAATTTAATTTTTATAAAATTTATGATTCTTTCGCCAGAAATATAACTGTTTTATGCGACAAATAATTGAAGTACAAAAATAGTTCAAACGATAAAGTTACTAAAATTAATAAACATATCGTAATTACAAAAAAAAAAAAATCGATACTCTTCCTGTTCTAGATCAGATAAGTATCGATCTCTCGTTAGAAATCATTTTCAGATTTTCAATATTGAATTTGATGTATTTGGAGAGACATAATTTTTCTAGTTTGTCTTGCAGTTGAAAACTACAGTTAAAATGCCAATTCACTAGAAAAATATGGGATATAATTTAAGTTACATACCCCTGAAATTGCATAACAAAAAATTCAAAGCAAAAACAAGCAAGCTTAAGAAATTTCTGGAGAAATCCAGAGAAAATGATAGAAAATGGGAATCGAGTTTCCTTAATCGGAAAGAAAACGAAACAGATAACGACGATCGAATTAAAATAAGCAAAAAAGAGGCGAAGAATCAGTTCGAATCTCGAGGAAAATGTATAGGAACCTGAATCTGCAACATCTGAGCTGATGAGTCGAAGAGTGACTTTGTTCCCGAGAAATTCATGGAGATGATCCAAAAACGAAGCGTTGAAATCGTTGAAATCGAGAACGTTCTTCTTCATCAGAACCACCATCCCCTTCACCTTCGTTCCGGCGCCGGCATCATCGCCGCCGGTGAACAGATCCACCAGTTGTCCGATCATCGTTCCACCGAATCTCCGACGAAGAGAATCTCAGATTCGCGAGAATTTCAAATCTGATATGCCTCGCTCTCGCTCTCTTTTTTATTTCTCTGAATTTTTTTCTTCTTCGGAGCTGAAATCTGTGTAGCGATGGAGGGACAATTTCTGTCAGTTGGGGTATTTATATAGGAGAAAACGGTGTGTAGATTTTTAAAAAATTAATTAATACAAACATTTTTTTAATAGAAAAAATCTATTTGCTACATAAATAATATTATATTCATTTGTTGACCGATAAAACGATGTATAGCTATTATATTTAACTTATCCAAATTAAACTTGATTTAATAGGTAAACCAAATTTAATATTACGGTCCGGTTAATTATGTATGTGTATACATGTATTTTAAAATTTTAATGTATGAATCATGTCATGATAATTAAATCTTTATGAAATTAAATGAAATAATACAAAATTTTTAAAATAAAAAATTCTTTAAATACAAAATGAAAATTCAACCAGATAAAATTATATATAATTTGTAATCGATTAAATACAATTTTTAAAAATTAGCTTTCTCTAATATAAGACAAAATTAATTGAAAAATAAATCAATATTAAATACAATAAAAAAATTAAAAATTTAATATAAAACTTAAAAAATATAATTTTCTAAATTTTAAAACTTGAATATAAACAATATTTAAATATAAAATATGTATGCTTATATGAGATTAATAACAAGTGCGTTTTTAGGATGAATAAGGATCATTTAGATTTCAGCTAATAGTTTTGTCAAGAAAAAGATAATTAATGTAAAATACAAAAGTAACTATTAGTTTTAATAATATAATATGATTAATCGTAATTCTCAAGCTCATTCTGTAATAACAGGTTAAGCCTTTACCACGTAACTTTAGAGAATATAGACGTCAACAGATCTAGTTTAAATTTAATTATTATCATAAGAAATATTATCAAATAATATATACATATATATATCACTTAATATACTTGTAGAAATATTATTTTTTTTTATCTAAATTTGTGTTAAAGTGATAAAAAAAATACTATTTTTGTATGGTTTTGCAATAATCCAGGGGAATAAGTTTTTTTTAGACCAAAAGCCCAAATTGGTCCGCCTAAGAATGTAGATATCTTCGTATACCATTTCAAGATTTAGGTTCCGCCTCCAACCACGTACTATGAATTGAATATTATATATATATATATATATATATATATCACTTGTCTTGAATAAACAATAATATATTAATTATTTTCATTCAAGCAGCCATTAGAAAATATATACACTAAATTAAGTTATTGGATTGTGTATACACGTCGGACTATGCTAGTGGTTATTCTATTTATATTTTTTTTTTAGGACAATGGGTGTATATTCAAATTATATAAGACATAAAAATTAAAATATTTTTACGACAATATATCCCAATTGTTTTTGTTTTTTTTTTGTTAAAAAAAAGTAATAAACACCGGCAAAACAAAACAAGATAAAAAAAACTTTTAAAAACTACAAAACAATATCACCTACACTATATATTGAAATGTAAATAACTTTCAATTTTTGCAATATAACAAAAATATTGCATAAGGGGACCAAAATGAAAGAGTCATATGGTCTGGCCACAGTATTTTAATATGATAAAAAAAATCAATTTGCTTCATATATATATATATATATATATATATATTTGTGAGTAAATGAACCAACCATCTTAAATATTTATCTATTGCATCATATACCCACTTGAAATTCATATGCACATGCTTATATTTTATTTCGACGCTTGAAAAATAATTGGAATAGTGGTCCAATAACTTCACAAAACGACAAAATTGTCTCTAATTAATATTCCATCTATTTTTTTTTTGTATGAATACATTAATTTGAAATCCAATGTATTCAATAATTCGTTGACCTACTAAAGATTGGCGTTTGTACCTCTTGGCATCATTTCAAGAGATTAAGATTCTTCTGTTTAGTTTTGGGAGAGTAAAACTTAAATTTCCAAAAAGAATATATATATATATACATATGTATATATATATTCCAAAATTTTGTAATGTAACACTTTTTAACAAATAAACTTGTAAAACAAATGTTGTCAAATGGATATATACACTGTTGAAATGAATGTATCACACAGACATATTTGATTTTTTGTCTCCCTTTAATAAAATGAGTCCATTGATATATAAAACTAAAAGTTATGTGATAATAGTAAATGAATTCCCATAATCTTAATTTCCACTTCCACAATAATATTTACAAACTGAATATTTATAAAATTTATTAAAGACTAAATTATTCTTATAGTCTAATCCAATCTGATCATATATAGTTATATATCATTCAAATTTGATATAAAAATTAAATAGATAAATTTTAAAGATAAAAATAATTAACTTTTAAAAAAATCACAAATAAATAACAAATAAACAAAAAATCGAAGAAAAATAATATTTTAAAAACTAAATGTTTTTATACATTTTCCCCCCCAAAACAACTAATTTATGTATGAATTTGGTACAGTAAATCTACCCTCTTATATATATTTTGGGTCGGCCACTAATTTCACAAAGTAAAAAGTGTGCATTTATTCCATACATGATTTAAATAACGAATACTTTTATCTTATCTAATAAGCTTTGTCTTCTTATTCCTAAATCCTATTTTGCGTGTAACACACGCGCTACGATGCCTCTTTTTATTCATAAAATATTAATAGTACGTGAAAAAAATAATACTAATAGTAGCTATTAAAACTTATATATATATATATAAGGCATACTTGATCACATTTCATATATAAACACGGTTGTATTTGTGGAAGTTTTCCAAAAATTAATAATTGCAATAGAGGATTATTCGGGTTCACCCAATAAGGCTAATATTAATTTGCTAACTTAGGCATTTTAGGCTTTGATAATTCGTCACCCATCGGTCCATATGTAAATGTACAATATGTAATCAAGATTTAAAACTATATACGCACGTCTCGATTTTTACCACTTGCTAAAATAAATACCTTATTATTTATATAAGTTTCCAATTTCTCTTTTATCTTGTTTGGGAAAAAGAGTGTCCGCATTTTTCTTATTTTCCTCTTGGAATTAATATAAGGAAATCCTAATAAAAGTATATCAACGTTCCATTTTTTTTTAAATAAATACCTTAATTTTCAGTCATGATATAAATATAGAAATTATTTCAAAATTACATAAATTTTAAATAATATCACAATTGAATTTTATTTATACGTATTGCTAAAAATATATAAAATTATTTATCCACGATATTACCCAAAATCTTTGCAATTTAAGCAAGCATATACAATTTTTTTTTTCTATTGCACAAAATTTCATGTCATTTTTTGATCAAGGATCTCTATTATATTAAAAAATGATTATATATTTTTAACAATTAATTGATTAAATAAATGATTAGATATTTATGTATTCTGGTTAGTTTTTTTCATCTATCTTCTACTTATCTCTAAACCGAAAATTTTTAACGTAGAATTGCAATTATAATATTATTGTTCTATCGTTCTATTGCTGGATAAAAATTGTTTTCCAACAATATCATTTAGAGTTTAGGTGATTTTGATTAAAATTACATTCAATGTATTTAAATTTATAATTAAAATATCTCAATATTTAAAATATTAATAATACCATCTTCACCAAAAAAACATTAATAATATAATATGAAAAAGTACTTGGGTTCGGTCAAATGATAGCGTGTTAATTCGCCGGCGGCTTACTTGGAACCTCACACTTAGTATCTCATAATATATAATCAAATAGAAATAAACAAATTATGATTAAATTATTTAATTTAAATATACTTTTCTAAAAATAATATAAGATTGGCTAATTTAATATATTCGTAGACGTCGTGTGGACGTAGTACGTCAATTTTGAATCGCAATTGCATTAATTTAGAAGAAGCGGTTTCTAACCATTGCTATATAAAAAAACATTATTATTTTCTCCTATTTCAAAATTTTAGTTTCAATTTTGCAACCAAGTTTAAAATAAGATAATTCCAATTTTCTCATGAGCTGTCAATTGAGATTCGTGAGATCCATAATATAAGTTGCAGAAAGTCAATAAGAAAAGGTCAAATATTTGTTTCTACACGGCCTAACATTTGTTTATAATGATTATTCTTAATTTTAGAGATATTGAATCCCAAATCTCCAATAGTTTGTGCATTGAAATAATATAACTATCATATTTTTTTTATATTATATAATTAATATTTTGTTTATTGTGGTAGTTTTCATTTTCTCTTTACGGGATGAAAATATATAATGCCAGTTACTATTTTATTTTTTTTTAACAATATTCATATTTGTATTTTTTTTTTGACAATTTATACGTTATCTTATTGTTATTAGCATCTAACTTTCAAAATTGCATAATATTTCAGAAATGCTATTTCAATTAAATAAAGCGACGATACATTTAGTGGTGATATATATATATATATATATATTGATTAAATTTATTAGTCTTTTACCAAATCTTGGTTGGATCGTCCATTATTCAGTTAGCAGCCTTTTTAGAGCTTATGGTACGTATGATCTGATCTTTAAAATATTAATTGCATTTTTCCATAATATTTGATCATTATCCTCGTTTCTGAGATGGTTACGTGCCTTTCACGTGCATAAATTAAATATATACAATGTTATATGATATAATATATATATATATATATATATGTATATGTATACGTATATATTATGTCAATTTCATAATATATAAATACACACATGACACATCACGTATATTAAATGATGATAACAGTGAGTGGCCCGTCGACTTTCTGGTGTAGAAGATATTGTATGATAGGTCTGAAAAATATACTAATGTTTGCAAAATAACCAATATTATTATAGATATTGCATTTTTGTAACTTTATAAAAGCTTTTGACATATTTTTTTTCATGACAAAAATGTTTTATATTGGTCATTTATCTTCAAATATATCTAGGCACAAAAATATTTTTTTTATAGGTATGATCTTACCAGCACTGTTTTATAAAGATTAAAACGAATTTTAATATGTAAATTTAAGAATATATATATATATATATATAGGGTGGACCGACTGCAAGCTCCAAAGCCACCTCGTTATCTAAGACAATGGTCTTCATCTATGAATATGAGATGGTGAAGAAATGATAAGCAATACGGAGGCAATAAAATTATTTTTATAACCAAAGTTATCGTAATATGCGAAATTCGATTGCATATATCCTAAACCCTAAAACGAGTTTCCAAGAAAAAATAATTTTTAATTAACAAAATATATATGTATCGTCTATGTATGTGTGTGTGTTCTTGCGTACAAATAAGGGTTATCCAAATAAATTTGACTGAGTTCATTGTATTGAGAAACCACAATCCAGTCAAAAGGTGAAGGCTGCCCGTAACATCAATCAATTTTTTTTTTTTATTGAACTTAACATCGAATATTTTGCAATATTAACATCAATATTTTTTGGTGACCCCATAATTGATAGCGATAAAATCATCCTCAAGATTTTGGGTTTAATTTTTTTTATTGAACGTAACATCAAATATTTTGCAACGTTATCATCAATATTTTTACTGTATCAAAAAATTTGTGTAATAAAAAAATAATAATTCTATTGTAGAATCATTTATTAGATTTAGAGGTTTCTCCTTAGAGAGAGACATAAACAAAGAGGGGAGACAGATTTGCTGGTGTTTGAAAGTTTTTATTGTATTTAAATTTTTTCTAGATTCATTTTTTTTATCATATGAATTTATATATTAAAAATATCTGAAATTTGATTCTTTAAAAGATAATTTATTAAGAAATATATAATATATTTGGGGTAATATTTTATCATGCATAGAAAGAAAAAAAAAAGACGCGATAGTGTTACAATGTGTTTAAAATGATTATTTTTAATAACATTTTATAAAAAAAATGTTATTTTTTAAATGAAATACGATACACGAGAATGGAAAAAAAAAAGGAAAAGTCTAAAATCCATTGTATCACATTCACATGCGATACCCCAAATTGTGAATCTCAACCTACATGAAGGAATCATCTTCAATAACCCCATTAAATATGTATACTGTTTGTACAATTATAGAGCATATATATATATATATATATATATGCAATCATTTAGGCACCGCGTACGAGTTTAGTCTTGTAATAGTAAGATTTGAAAATGATGCACATTATGCATTTAATGCATTCAAAGAATATATCCTAAAAGTGGAAAGATTCTCTTTGATGGGTCGGTTGTTACTTGTTTTAGACCAAGACGTCTTTTTTTATCATGGTTTTTATTACAGGAACGAATGCATTATTAATATTTCATTTTTTATTATATATTCTCATATAAAAAATTTGTGCATTTACCATTTTAATTGGTGTATAATATATTTTAATATAATGGCGCGAGGATGCAAAAAGACGATCAATCGATTCTAACGTTAGATTCATGAGGTTCTAGACAAATTTTCAGAGATTTAGGGTAACTAGTATCTGATACGTGTAAGGTTTTTATGCATATTTATAAAGTGTATAACGTCTCGATCGTTTCCAAACTGATGACGTGGCATAAAACTTTTCAAGTCAAATGTTGTAATGGGCTTCACGGGCCTTATTTTTATGTCTTGGGCTTTCTAAAACAAATTTATTCAATTATGACCCATAAAACCATAAGAGATTTGTTATCAGTGTTTTCGGGCATGTAATCATTAAACAATAGAGAATAAAATGACTTGCAAAATGTTATTTGCTTATATAATCACATAATGCTAAATCAGGCACAATTAACATAGGTTTCTGCATAACAAAAAAAATTCTAAAACTAAAACAAGGGAATATGTGAATTAATTAAAATCTTTGTATTATTTAGTGTTTTTGTTTAAAAAAAATATCAAAAATTAAAAATTTGGAATCAAAATTTAACAGAACTGTACGATTTCTTTTTCCATCACCATATCAATGAAATGGTCATTTTATTCAACAAATAAATTCCCAAGTGGCGGCTTTAACCAATGCTAGATTTAACATTTTGATATAACTGATGTACTAAAATTATATTTTAAAATCGTGGATTTTTATTTTTCAACTTTCCTCTCAGACACAACTGTTGCTGAATCAAGGGTCTAATGCTCAAAGCTCTGTTCAAGGATTCAGGCATTTCTACCAAACGCAACTACGTAGAAAACACAAACAAGCACATAGATATAAACATATATATATATATATATATATATTCATCCATATTTACCTCTGTTCAGTTATATGAGCAACGATGTCTCCTGTCTGAATCCAAGCTTAAAAATATACTGAGGAGTGATCTCACACCCTGCAAGAGACAGCCTACGAAAAGATTAAAAAAGAGCAGCAGATTCATCCAAACTCTCCGAGTTTACTCTACATTGATCATACATGAGATATGTATATGTATACGCATAGTGGCGTTACATATACATAGTGACACTGACATCTACATGCATGTTTTACCATTCCAGAGAGACGACTCTGTGTTAGTCTAAAGTCGATCTATGTTCTTCAAGAACGCCTCATTTTATGTGCAGACGCAATCGGGAGAGAGTAAAGGATTCGTGTTACTGGATGTGTGTGTGTGTGTGTGTATAGAACATCTATGCAGACAGATACATACGTTTACCTCGAGTTGGCTGTCTGAGAATGCTATTTTTTTCAGTGTCTAGCTTTGGCCAGCCTGCCTCTCCCACCTGAGATCAGCTGAGAACTCGGAAAAAGCGGCACGGGGATTCCCTTCTGCGACGGCCAAGTAGTACTGAGCAGTTCCATCATCCACTTGCATGCTTCTCCTTAAAGAATTGATTAACCTTCGCTTTCCTTCGGCTGATAAGGTGGATAGATTCAACGTGGAGGCAGGCCCGCTTTCGGGTCCTCCTTCAAGGTAAAGCACGGCTACTTCTCGTTTAGCATAAGTGTCTAGCTCAATGTAGCAAGTGCTGTTCACGAGAATATCCGGGTTGCTTATAGGGATAAGCAATCTTTCTCTCGAGTAAATCCCATGGTCACTCATCATGTTGTTCAGCCGCTTTATGTCCATAACCTACACGTTCAAGCAAAAGAAGAATAATTCAAAGGCATGTATTGAACAAATTAAGAAAAAAGAAAAATGATTTGGAAAAAGATTATATGAGAACAAGTGTAGATGAGGTAACAGAAGAAGAACAAATGAAGAGACTGATTTGGGACTGGCATATCACACTGACAGGACAAAGCTACAATCCATTTCCTAATTAAGATTATCTCTGTTCAATAAAAACAGAAAAGCCAACTCCAAAGCTAGACAAAACCTCTGACATCTCAAATTTATGCAAGTCCAACGTTCTCCATCTCATTATCTTCTCATATCAAGTGCATGAGTCTGGGATGGTCCCAGTCAAAGTCTAAGAGAACAATGCACTAAACTGCAATGGCTTGTTCCTGAAAATACTTTGTTGCTAGTTTCATTACATAGGGCATAATGGATAGGAAGTAATATAACTACCTACTAAGTACTAAGTTACTAACACAAAAGCAGAAACTGTTAAAAGCACATACAAGGAAATTATAATTCTAATTAACACTTAAGCCAAAAGAGCAACCGCATGCCTATGAACCTAGGATCGGGTTTTACTTTGCGTGAAGACTTTCTCAATGTCATCTGATCTGACCCATGAGCTTCTAAAAATAAAAAGTAGAATTCAGACGAGGATAGATGGACCCCTTGAAGTAGGAGTTATGAAATCTATCTTTGGTTTAAGTTTCTTGGACATTTTACAGAATGCACTGAAACATAACCTATGTTCCTTCCTCATGCAATAGACCCAACAACCACAATAGATGAACTCTTAGATTCTATTTTGATGCAAATTAGAATGTATTAAATGTGACAAGGGAAAACTACAATTGACTACATAATCGATTCCCATATACACGATTTCCCTGAAGGAGACAAGCCACATGAAACTGAAAAACATTGAAATCAATGGTATTACTGTAAAGTTTCAATCACCCGCTACATGCAACAGCAAAGACAAGAGACTTATGTAGGAAGAGAAATGGAAGTGAATCAACAAAGAATAGTTTACTCTGGCACAACATTGTTTTATGATGTTCCAAAGACCAGTTTTACAGCCAAACATAAAGTTCTTCATCTATCTACATCTAAACATTCATACATTGAAGTATGATAAATGCTTAAGGCAAGTACATTTCAATCTCTCCTCTTCAAGATTTTGGTTAACTCAACCTAACAGTTTCAAAATATACACAAATTTTTAGAACTTATCTCAGAAACTGCTAAATGAACTGGATATTTCAGAAAATCCTACTGATTTCAATTCCTGGGTATCGCCAATCACGATTTTAATTCAGACGTCCATTAAATCACTGATAAAGCCAACTCATACATTCGTTCTTTATTTTCCAGCAATTTTCTCACAGATCAACTGCATAATTCTTAAACCACTAAGAACTTGATTCACCAACAAAGCCAGAATCATAAACCACACATCAAAATTCCTTTTCAGATTCTATTCCTGCTTTTTCAGAGCAACCACAGAAAACATCTCCAAACCAAAACGAATGACCAAACGGTACCTGGACCGAGTATTTGACGGCGAGGCTTGTGACGCTATCTCCACGCGAAATCCTATGCGAGATCGCGAACTTCCAGATCCCATTGTCTCTCCAGAACGATCCCGACGCCGGCTTCCCCACCACCTCCTTGATCCGCCACGGTGAAGTAAAAGCCCGAACCACCATGTCTTCCTCTCCGGAGACGGAGTTCCAGAGACGGCAGACGCAGCTCGCGCGGGCCAAATCGGCCACCGAAAGCTTCTGGAAGATCAGCCGCAACGTGTCGCGGCACGCTAGGGCCATAAAGTGAGAGTTCATCGGCGAGATCGTGACGGCGGAGAAATCGGAGACGAAGATGACGGCGGAGATGGCTTCGTCGCCGGCGAGAGGTTCCGTGAGGGACTCGCCGACGTCGTTTTGATCGCAGCAACAGCCCATTTGAGATTCCGAGAGATGTGGCTCGCGTGTGTGTGTACGTGGCAGCATATTTATCCCTTTATACTCTCTTTATATTACAAGACGAAAATATGATTTCTTTTTTTATGTACTTAAATATATGCGTTTGATTTTTTTTTTCCATGTCGATATTTTATTTAAACATCCATATTGTGTTAGAAAGCGTCATGCGAATGAGCATGATAATGTTGATCATCATGGTCATGATGGTTACTACAACACCAAATTTCGAGACAGATTCCGATGGGATTCTGATTTAATCAAGTTAAAATCTAAATAAATTGGAAATATATGATCAAAATTATGTATTTTATTGAATCACAAAGGAAATGGATGAAAAAAAAAAGTAACACGATATATAGAAAATTCTAAAAATCCACAATGTACCAAATTTACTTTTCTTTATAATGATATTCTTGCATAAAAAAAATGAAATTATTACTCGATGTTGTGAAAAAATTAAATTTTTTTAGAGAATAACCCAACAATGAGAAATAAAATATATACAATAGGCAACATAAATTCAAAATACAATAGTCTACAAAATATGAAATTTAATATTACCATAAAATATACGAATTTTAAAATTTCTGCAAAATGTATAAATTTTGCAAGTATTTGTATAAACTCATAGTACTTGTTATATACGGTAATTTTTTAAATTAAATTATTTTCCTTATTTTAAAATAGAATATTTTCCGAAAATAAAAATGCATTACAAAACACTAAAATATTTTTAATAAATATAAAAACAAATAATATTTTGCAATATATCCGGTTATTCCTAATTACACAAAAAAATGATGAGGAAAAAAAACATTTCTGAACGTATTTAAACCGGATTAAATCTTTTCTGATAATTCCCTCTATCCTTAGGGTTTGTATGCTCTTAGAAATTTATACATATATCCCACATCCCGAATCATAAACCATACAATATATTCCTTTTTAAAAAAAAAATATAAACCTATATATATTAATATCTTCAATAAATTCAATGAAAAATCTTCTTTCTAGGATCCTTGACTCGAATCTCCCAATGCCTACCCTCATCAAAGCCTTCGCCCCTCGAAATCTTCCGCCATTTCTCGATCCTCCCTTCCGTCTTCGGACTAAGCCCGCAGAAGCCCTTCAACTCCTCCGACATCCGATCGTAGACTCCCCACCACTTTCCGTGGACGGAGTCGCTTGCGAACACCCTCCGAGGTTTCATGTCCCAGTTGCAGTCGTAATCCCTGTAGCACGCCCACGGCTTCAGGCCCAGGTAGTGAACTCCGTACACGCCGTCGCTCAGCTCGCGCCTAGGGTTGCTCCTGCCGAAGAACTTCATCGTGTTCACGCGCTTCGACAGTCTGTGCCACCAGACGAAGTTCTCGTTCAGAAACCCTTGGTCTCCTCCGTTGTACGACTCGATCTTTAATGATTTTCTCTTTAGATCTTCGAACATGCACTTCGATGGCTCCAGAACCTTTTTTTTAAACAGTACAAAAAAACTATATATTATAAGAGAATAATTAATGGTATTATATATCCTAATATATATCCTATAATTATGTAAATGATTTGACCTAGGTTTCTACTTTATCTTATTATTGTAAATAGAATAGAGATCTAGATCATTAAATTACTTGGATAATTTCGATAATACTTGTTATAGGAGAATAAAGGTATTATTGTAGTTCTGTAAATTATTTAACCTAGGTTTCTATTTTATTTTATTGTTGTATAGAACAACGTGTATAGAGAAAATACGGTATAGAAATAGAAATGTAGGTTAGGTTAAATTATTAACATGTTATACTATTGTATAGAACAATGTATATAGAGAAAATACAGTCAAAAAGGTATATATTGTAAGAGAATATGGGTATTCTCGTGATTATGTAATAGATAAAATACAGTAGAAAAGTATAGACGTAGGTTAAATTATCTAATTAATTACGATATTATATACTTGTATTCTTGTGTATATATATATATAACCAAGATTTAGATAGATGATCATAAGGTTATAATGCCATATTATATATGACTATATGAGTAGCGGTGTAATTGCATTACCATGACTCCGGAGTTGAACAAGTCTTTGTCGTTCCCGGCAGCAGACAACTGGGGGTAGAAGAAGAGATGATCAAGATTCTTTAACACGACGATGTCTGCGTCTATGAACACCAGCTTGTCGTAATCCGTTACTTGCCAGACACGCAACTTGCTGTAATTCCACTCGTTGTAAGAGCCTTTTCTGGCCAAAGGACTGCGGATTCTCTCGACCCGCCGGAGTTCCCAACCGGCGGCTCGGAGGCCGGAGAGAGATCTGTTGGTTAGAGAATCGTCGTGGAGAAGGACAAGATCTCGGGTCGAACCCGATTGCCTTATGCTCTGTGCCAAGGCTATCGCCCCGCAAACGTAAGCCTCCGACGAGTGGAGAACCGTCACATAGGCTTCCCGTCCCCGGCCGAACGTGGAGGTGACCGGTGGGGCGGTGGTGGTGGCTTCTTTGCCTTAAAAAATGGAAAATAAAAAGGTGAGCTTAATAAGGTGGAGTAATGTTTAAAAAATAGAGATAATATATGGTTAAAACAAAAAAGTTAATTAGGGTTGGATTAAGAAAATGAGAAGTTAAAAGAAGAAAATTTGGTGAAATGGAGACTTAAGGAGAGGGTTATATGGTTAATTAGCAGGTGTAGGGTTGTTAAAGATAGGGTTACTATAACGATGGTTATGATTAATATATTTAATCTGCACCTAATTACATTTTCATTTAAATGTTTACGGAGCGAAAACTTATTAATGTTTATGAAAATATAATGATGGTTATGATTAATATATTTAATCTGCACCTAATTACATTTTAATTTATATGTTTACGGAGCAAAAACTTATTAATGTTTATGAAAATATAATGACGGTTATGATTAATACATTTAAGTACAATGGTTATTGAATTTTGAAATCCGTTAAATATTTAAAAAAAAAATTCTTGAATCAACTAACGCTGAATTGAACTATCATAACTCTACTAATAAAATGTCTTACTTAAAATTCAAATATTTTTTTTTTATAAAAATGGCAAACATAATATAATCCAAATCAGGTTGTAATTAGATATAATCTCATACAAAATTAATCACAAACTTTGGTCTTCCCTATTTATTAATGTTCTGAAAAAAAATGGAGCTTAGGGATTTTATCTTGGATCATTTTTTTGACATTAAATATTATTTCTATTATTCTGAAGGAAATTAGATCCTTATATTCTACTTCTAATCTACAAGCATTCCAAACTTTTTGGGGAAAAATAATAATTATGCTATCTAAATCGCACCAACATTATACTAAATCAATTTCTACATATTGTCGTTTCAATTTATAAAAAAAAAGTTGTGAAAATGTAAAAGAAAAATCATAAACATATAAAAAAAAAGCCTCTAAAATATGTGTGTATATATGTATATGTATATGTGTATATATATATAGCACTTCAATTCAATGCACTTATGTATATATACATGTATATACTTATAGAAAGATTAATCAGAATACCTGATTGAGCAAAGGGAGAAGCAATGTCGCATGAACCGACGGGCATGAGGAGCATTTGTTTCAACCTCTCGAGATTAGGCTTATAAACCCAATAATCTCCCACGCGCCTTACGCGCTCGTCGCACCGGAATATCTCATGCATGGGCCCACAGAATCCGACGAATACAACGTAAACCGTCCGATCAATCTCCCTCCGGCCGCTCTCCACCGCTAGATTCGCCGCCGCTAGATTCACCTGTAGCCTGAAAACGTCCCTCAACCCTCTCTTCGCCGACCAACCCTGGCACGGGATCTTTGCCACCACCACGTCCACGTCAGCAGATTCCGGCAGGGGGATCTCCGGGCACTTGGGCACTTCCCACCTGTGATCCTCGTCTACCCACTCCGGGAAGAGATTGCTCCACGTGAGATTCTCCGGCAAGGGAACAAGTGGCACGTGAACGGTCTCCGAGATCGACGGTCCAAGCGCCTCGTAGCTCTCTAGCTCGTTCTCGGCGACGTTGAGGAGCCCGACTCGGATCCTTTTCTTCTCCGGCAAGAAATCTCCGACGAGTCTTAGCCATTTAGGGTTTTTGGTCACCGGCGGCGACGGAAGACCGGTAATTTTCGCCGGAGAATTGATCTGAGACAGAAGAGTCAACGGTTTGAAAGTTAGAACCAGAACCAAAAGCGACGATGAGATTAATATGAGATAAGTGATGAACAATTTTTGGTTCGGTTTGGCTCCCATGGTTTGATCTCTCGTTGCTCTCCACGTTCGTACTTTTGACATATATACACTTGTATGAATCTCCATATAGTTGTGTATGTGTATGTATATATGTGTCTGACATAAAAGGTTTCATTTGCATGGACGCACGTTAGTGTGGAAGTCAATTTGTTTCTCATTATTATAAGGCTCTTCGGTTGGAAGTTCTTATTAATCCCACGCGCGCGTGTAGCGCGTGTTGTGCTTAGATTGGTAACTTTTTTTTAACTATAGATTGGTAATTTTAGTCATTCAAGAATATATATATATATATTTACCTTTGAAGAACTGTGATTTTTGTCATTTATTATTTTACCTTTGTATTAATGAATTAGTTCTTCCTTCCTGTTAAGAAGATATATACATATATATGTATGTATGTATGTATGTATGTATGTATGTATTTTTTAATTTTTTTTTAAAAAAATTTTGTTGATGATGTATCAACATTTTCATATACGAGGCAGTTGACGTGATTTCTCACCTATATTTTCAATTACAAAGTCTAGTGGCAATATTCCTGCACATCGTTAACGATTATGATGATTTATTTATTTCTTTTTGTAAATTTTTGTATTAAACTAGTCTTTTGAGTAAAATAAATATAAGGTTTTTATCCTATACATAGTTTTTTTTTATAGAAATCATATATTGATATAAGATTTTTTTTTCTAGATACATATTATTTATTCTGCATTTTTCCTACGTTTAAATAAAATAGAAATGTAGAATTACAAGTTGTTGAAAAGGTAGAACATTTAGACTAAAATTTGATAAAAATAAATAAAATATATTCTCTAAATATTATTTCTAGACATTGAATGTTTTCTACGTATGTTAAATGTTGAGTTATAAAGCAACCCCCGGGCACCTATGAAGGAAAGGTTGATCCAACGAAATGGCACTTTATAGTAAACCATTTTTTGGAAAAAAAATTTGACACTTTATAATAATTATCTTGACGCATATATTTGTGTATATATTTTTTTAATGAGTACAAATCAACATTTAATGACAAAACTATATATTTGCGTCGTTTATACGCGCTGCACGGGAGCGCGTGTGAGGTGACCGTGCAATCCTACGACAAAACGATCAGGGTCTGTCATTAGAGTTACATGACACAACAAAACGGAAGCCGAGACATTTGTATTTGCCAAAGGCAAATCTAATAAATAAAAACAACGGAAATAATAAAATTAGATAGTAATGGCATTCTATTCTTCTGTACGTGTAGAGATAATATAAAATACGTATTCCTAAACTCTAAAATTAGTTGCGTCTATTTACATATACATACGAATTATAGATACGGACTCCTACATTTTCTTTTTTTTTTTAAAAAGGAGCAAGTTGTGAATGAAACAATGGCAATAAAATTCCAATAAGTGGCCTTTTGGACCAACGAACGTACATTATTATATGTTATAAAATGTATGTTGGTGTAACATATGCGTGCATATATTAATATTATGGCTATGTAAAATATTAGGACGGCCAAGATTCTGTGGAATGCGGACTTGCGTGAGGAGTGGATGCCATTATCTTCTTTCTCGTTTGGAATTTAAATATTTGTTTCGGTGTCGGATGAATCGAATAATGAATAATTTCACACGTATTATGAATATGTGTAGGATTTGGTTGGTGATTGTCTTGATAAAGAGAGCAAATACAAATACCTACAAAAAAAAAAATAGAGAGGAGATTATATGATTTTATCGAAATATAAAATCATTTTATTAACTGTAACCATCGAATATAACAAATTACAGAGAAGCAAGAACAAGGGCTAATTTCCATGTGTACAAAAAGAAAAAAAATTTTGATGAGATGTTTACTTCACATTGTCAAACCTTAGTGAATTAAGACTTTTTGACTAGTCATACACACACACACACACACCCCCACCCATACATACATACATACATACATACATACATACATACATACATACATACATACATACATACCTTCTTTTTTTTCCCCCTTTATTATAATTTGAAATATTCTCTCCGATCTCAATCTCTCTTTCAATCCACACTTCAAACACACTCTCTCTCTCCGGCTCACGCAGCGGGTTCGTAGTCCGAAACCGCTGAATCGCCGAGAGGTTTCTTCCCACAGTCTATAAAGCTTAAACCGTATCCTCATCCAACCATCGCCTGTAATACTACAGGTACACATAAAATCTCCTCTCACAAATTCCATTTCTCAAGGAAAAAATTACACAAAAGTGTCGAGACCTCAAAATCAAGAAAGAAAATTGCATGATTCAATACAAACATTTACTTCTTCTATTTGTAAAATATATGGGTATATCCTCGGACGAAAACCCAACCCGATTGATATAAATACACGACCAAACGACCCAAAAGAGGGTTTTTTCTACGTTCCAACGGTAAAATCACGAAGAATGAATCAATAAAACACGATACAATACACTGAAAACAAATGCATAGGCACATAGATTAGATATATAGTGCGTACTAAGAAAGATGGGAGAGTTCTTTATATCCAGACTCACCTGGTTAAGTCTGCTTTGGTCGGCTAAGGCCAGATTGATACAGATGTCGGGAAAGATTGGTTACCGAGAAGAGCCTGAGGAAGATGAGGGGGATCGCGGCTTATCAGATTTGCCCACAGATTCGCAATAGCCACCAAGAAGTGCTTACCGTTCCATTCAACGGTCTTCATCCCTGGTTGATACATAGATTTGGTAAAACACACACAATTGAAATATAAAGGCTTGATTCCCGTCTATCGTTACCCAGAGCCAGAAATTTAAACAAAAAACAGTCAGGCTTTGTATTTTTTCAGCAAACGAAAACGTTCTATACAGGCAAAAAGCTGGTCATGTGCTCTTGCTTTAAAAGCACACGTCTATAAAACCAATTTGACGGTCTTATTGGGATCAAAACAAAAACTGGAAAAAGCATTCAGACCCTTTTTCAATTCCACGGCCATCATCCAACAACGATGCCTTCACCAGCAGGTCCCAGCCATATACGGACGAAAACCAAACTGTAAAAATAATTCATTTCATTTCCTATACATTCCCTAAAATAATCCAATCTTAATCGGAATGAACTGAGAGCTTAAATCTGTAAAATTCCTTGTTGTAACGAGAAGCCAAGGAATAAAACAATGAAATGAAGTACCAATGCTTACCTGGTATGAGCTCAGCAGG